ACCAACCAAAGCAAAACCAGGGAAGAACGAACCAAACCAAAAGCATCCAAAACCAGGGAAGAACCAAACAAACCAAATCCAACCAAAACCAGGGAAGAACCGAGCAAACCAAAACCATCCAAAACCAGGGAAAACCAACCAAACCCCACTCCAAGTAGGAAAACTCCAATGATTTGCACCTTGTGATGTCCTTGGAATCACCAGGTTGAGTTGAGGAATGGCTTTAAGGCAGCCAGAACAGAGGAATCAGCTTTGGTCATTTATGGGGTTTCCATACCCAGCCTGAAGCCTCCATGAAACAAAACCAGGAGATTTTGGGTGGTTGTTTTATCTCTTGTGATTTATGGGATTTTTATACCTGACTTGAAGGCTATGTAAAGCTAAACCAGGAGATTCTGGGTGGTTATTTTGTCTCTTGTTTATCTGAGAAATACATGCAAAGAAGTGCAATATTTTTGTAGGGTCTGTTTGAAATTACTGCTTTTATCAGCACTGTATTTTGGAGTTCTCCCTCTCTGTTTAGTTTCAGTGTTGATATTGCATAAAATCTCAGATTTTACTCTCTGAGCCAGGGTTATTATATATTTCCCCTGCTGAATATTTGATAAGGTCTCTTGGGTACTGATTTTCCTTCTTTCTAGGATAACATATTATGGAAATTGTTTCACCTTGTGTCCTGTTTAAAGTCCTGGTTTTAGCATGATTCAATTTGGTTTGCATTATATTCCATGGAGTTCCTTGGCAGTTCCAAGTTATTCCAGAGTGTTTGTGTGGGGGCTGATTTGACTTTTCTTCCTGCTTTAGCTAAGTGACCTTCACAGGATCATCTTGGGGTCTTTATTGCATTTAGATTTCTTAGTAATTGGCCAAAGTTCTTACTGGATTTTCCTGAGATAAATTATTTGGATGATGGGAGGGATCCACTGGGGCCAAGACCACCAAGGTTTGGAGTCTTCACACTCCAGAATCAGCTCCAGATCATTTGAAGTTGGTGCTTGGTAAGAACAAAACAACATTGCACCCTTCAAAAACAAATAAAATGGATGCTTTTCCTATCAGGGTGTGAGATTCCCAAACCATTTGCTCTTCTTGATGAGTTTGTTGTGCAGGAAAAATTGGAAAGAGCAGCAAAAAATGACCAGTTCAGCAATGTCTCATCTTGGGATATCCTGAGGTAGAAATAAAGTTGTGTGATCACATGGACATCTAATTCTCTTCTCAGGAACTCTGCACCTTCCAAAAGCCCCTTTGGCCTGAATTTTCCTGTAATGTCCATGTGGGTGTAAATAACCCATAGGATTGTCCTGCAGCCCATGGCTTCTCACCCAGAATCTATGGCAAAAACAATTATTAGCTATTAATTAACTGTATTAGTTCTTCAGTTCTTGGCTGGAACTGCTGTAAATTCACTGGAAAGTAGATTATATGTGAAATCTTAGGCTGTTTTATAATACCTAAATGGGGTATTTTGAGGGTAGTGCACATTTTTCAGCCCTCTTGATTAATGATTAGCTTGATACAGGGAGTATTTTTAGGAACATGAATATGTTCCAGGTTAAAATCATGATTTCAACAAGTTCTAGGGAATATTTTTAATTTAATTTACTAGCAAAGGAAGTTCACACCACCTCAGTTAGTTACTGTGGGTTTAAGTAATCCCAAACCTGGCAAAACCTGGAGAATTCCAGAATGGTTTGGGTTGGAAGGGACCTTAAAATTCCTCCAGTTCCACCCCCTGCCATAGGCAGGGATGGAACTTCCTTAATTGAATTCCAGCTTCTTGCTACAGGTCCCTGATGACCAGGATTCAGATGGAGCTGGAATTTTTTCCCCTGGCATTGCTGAAACGTTTGGATGAACCGGAGTATGATATTTCCTGCGTTTAATGGATGACTTTAAATATATATGCATGTCAAGTGGTGTTTTACTGCAAATCCCTGGCCAAAGTGGGGAAAAATTCCAAACCTTCTCTGGTAGAAAAAAGGAAAACTCAGGAATAAAATCAAACTTGCCTAATGAACCAAAGAAAGGAAGATGCTGCACTGGAGATAGTATGAAAAGCAAATATATGGGGAAGTCTGGGCTATAAAATGGAGTAAAACATAATTACCTGGTAATGATACCAAATTAATGGCTTCTTTTGTGTTGTGAGCATTGGAATGTTGGATGTGCATAAAGCTGCTCCTGGCTTTTATTTGTGGTGTTTAATGGTTTAAAATTCTGCAGGCACTCAAAGGCTGTGTGGGAGAGACTGAGCTGTGGCCATAGGTCTAATTTTGCCTAAAACAACAAATGAAATATAGTATTAATGGAACCTTATTTGTATAAATTATTGTACAAATAATATAATTTAAATATGTTATTATTTCACATAATTATAAAAATGCAACAAAAGTTATATTATCATTTACAGTATGTATTTTAAATATATAATTATTATATGTATTTATATAAATATAAGGGTAATTACGTAATATAATTTATAGTGTGTATAATGTAACATAGAATGGGATGCAGAATATAATTGTAGAAGATCTCTAATATAATCTGTGGGCTAACTAAAAGATAAACCCTGCCATAGCCTGGCTGATTGATGCCCTGCAGCCTCAGGCTGGGAAGAGGTTTTCATTGGAAGTGACAGGTGCCCCAAGGTTTATTTAGGACAAGCTCAGCCTTGTCCTGGTTAGTTTGATAATGTTTTCCTTATGGATGTTCCAGCAGTGCATTTCCTGCGTTAGGGCCTTGTGCTACACCAATATTCCTGTCTGGGCTGCCTCAACTACAAATTGGCTGAACAGCCCGTGACGCTTTTTCAATATTATTGCATTAAACCAAGTGGATTTTGATTGATAACCTAATATTCAACTAATGCAAAACATCAATCATGGCAAGTATATTAATTATTTAATATTGCAGCCTAATTCAGGAATCGATGTGCTGCAGGAGGGGAAGGGAAACTCGCTGTTCCCAGAAGGTTTGAGACAGGGCATGATTAAAAAACAGCCCCACCAAGCCCCGCTCTGCTCCCGTGTGTTGGTTCGATACAAATCTTTATTCATTTGCCAATAATCTCCTCACATTTTCCACTTGAGGACCTTTTTTATCAGTTTTGAGGCCTGGAATTGAATTAGGGCTGCTTTCAGCACAGGCTGAGGGAGGTGCACGGGTATTGATGGCAGGGATGGGGCTGTCCTGGAGCTCCTCCAGCCCTGCCCTGCGTCCTCTCCCAAAGCAGCTCCACCTCCAAGGGCCAGCTGGGGCCTCCAGAAGGGATCAGGGAATCATGGAATGCTCTGGGTGGGAATGGAGATCAATGCCACCCATCCCACCCCTGCCATGGCCATCCCCTGGGAGATCCATCCCATCCATCCCATGGGAGATTGATCCCATGGGAGATCCATCCCATCCCTCCCATGGGAGATCCATCCCATTCCATCCCATGGGAGATCCATCCCATCCATCCCATGGGAGATCCAACCCATGGGATATCCATCCCATCCATCCCATGGGAGATTGATCCCATGGGAGATCCATCCCATCCATCCCATGGGAGATCCATCCCATGGGAGATCCATCCCATCCATCCCATGGGAGACCAATCCCATCCATCCCATGGGAGACCAATCCCATCCAACCCATGGGAGATCCATCCCATCCAACCCATGGGAGATCAATCTCATCCATTCCATCCATCCCACCCCTGCCATGGCAGGGACACCTCCCACTGTCCCAGGTGCTCCAGCCCCAATGTTCAACTTGGCCTTGGGCACTGCCAGGGATGCAGGGGCAGCCACAGCAAATCTGGGAATTCCATCCTAGCCAGAATTCCTTCCAAATATCTCATCTCAATCTATCTTCTTTCACTTCCAGCCACTCCCTGGGTCCTGTCCCTCCATCCCTTGTCCCCAGTCCCTCTGCAGCTCTCCTGGAGCCCCTTTAGCCTCTGGAAAGGCTCTGAGCTCTCCCTGGATCTTCCTTCCGTCTCCAAAATTGGGATAAATCCTGTAGGGCTGAGAAATTAAGTTCTTCTTTCAAAGTCAAATCGCTAAAGTACTTTTTTTTTTTTTTTCCCCTCTCACGTCATTAATGACATTTAAACAGAAAAAAAAAAACCTGCATAGCAGATTTTTGAAAAAGCTTTAGGAAATGATAAACAATTAGCAATTTTAGTACTAGTAATTAGTAATAGTGTAGTGTTAACTGGTTCCCTGCAGCCCTCACGGGCTGGTTTCTCTGTTTGCTGTGGGAATGACCCACCTTCCAAGAGGGAATGTTGGAGTTAGGTAGAACCTGGGGCTGATGGAAGCAGGAACCATCTCCTTGTCTGGTGGGTTGGCATTTGGGGAAATTTTAATTTGTTTTCCATTGGATTTAATCTTTTTTTTTTCCATAGCATGATATGTTAAAGATAGATTTTCCCTCTGAATTTTTGTTTTTCAGAGTTTTTACTTGGATACTTCAGTCCATTTTTTTGCAGCTGCCTTTATGTAGAATTCTTCCCATTTTCTCTCTGTACCTTTGTACTTTTTGCAGCTTTCAGGGATTGGGTGCCCAGCTCCAGCATGGCTGCCACGAGCCATGGAATTAATGACAATTCCTTCTCTCCATCCCTTGGAAAGGGGCAGGGAATTTCATTGTGGCAGTGGTGGCAGGGCAGAACCAGGAGGCACCAAAAGGGGATTTGATAAACAGCCCCATGCCCTGATTCTTTCCAGTGTAAATAGTGGGATAATTAGATTAAAATGTCAATTTTAAATGTGTATTCTGTGACATTGCCACAGTTTGTACAATTTCAGGGCAGGTACTGTCTGAGGGTTGAATTCTGTCATTGAGCATTAGGCTAATCAATGTTTTTAAGGTGTTACAGGTAAATATATGTATTAAAATTAAAAATTGGACACACTGGAGAAATTACCCAGCTTTGCCATTTCAGAGTTAAACAGAAATCGTTGCAGACAAGGGTTTAGCAACTATTTAGAACTTTTGTTCTTCTCTTACAGGGACTCTGCAAACATCAAAGCTGGATTAGAACATCTGGTAAGTTTTAATTTTCTCTTGAACATTTGCATCATCTTTGATATCTGCATTCCAAATGAACACTTTTGAATGAGCTTTGAATACCTTGAATTGAGAAAGTCAACCATTTCCCAGAGGGTCAGGCTACTGTTATTATGTGAAGGCACTCACATTTTCATTTATCTCCCCATTTCAAGGGAATTTTAATTTTTTTAAATTACTTTTTTTGATGTCGAGATGAAATAAACTGGACTACAATCCTTGGATTGATGATTGCCTTAATTATAAACAAAAATTGTTTGGTGTTGGATTTTTGGCATATCCTGATCTGAAAACAACAAACTTGTGATTAAAAAAAAGTTAAAAAAAAAAAAAGAGCCAGGGACACAATCAAATATTGCATGCATAAATATGGTGTGTTTGAGTCATTTGGAGGCTTTGAAAGAAGTGCACAGCTTTGTGTTTTCTCTTGTCTTTGCTTTATGAATAATGGATCGACTTAAATTCCATTCAGGGATGCAGTAGGAAATAATAATTGAGGTGCAAAATATTTCTGGTTTAAGTAAACATATTAAACCCACAAGTGATGGCAAGCCAGGCTTAGCATTAAAAACTCATCAGTTGATCAAAACTGGGAAAAATAAAATCTTGTCACAAGTCAGAAGCTGGTTGAGCCTCACATGTTGGTACCAGCAGTCAGTGGAACATTAAATAGTTGATGTAAAGTGATTATTAAATCCCATTAAATGAAAATATTCACTATTAATGGCACATCCATCCTGAGAAGGGTTTCATGGAATATCTAAATAATCCCTGCTGTTCCACAGTGCTGTGAAAAACATGATGTGTCTCTTTGGACAGAGCTGCTTTCCTCTGGTTGCTTCCCATCCTGGGAATCACCTGGGAAGGATTTGGAGGAGCTTGGGCACCAGGATCTCCTTGGAGTGCCAGAGGGGTGGAGAGGGTGGAGATCCTGGTGGGATGGAGATCCTGGTAGGATGAAGATCTTGATGGGGTGGAAAGAATGGAGATCCTGGTGGGATGGAGATTGTGGTGGGATGGAAGGGATGGAGGTCCTGGTGGGGTGGAAAGGAGGGAAATCCTGGTAGGATGGAAAGAAGGGAGATCCTGGTAGGATGGAGGTCATGGTGGGATGGAAAGGATGGAGATCCTGGTGAGATGGAGATTGTGGTGGGAGGGAAATGATGGAGATCCTGGTGGGATGGAAAGGATGGAGGTCATGGTGGAGTGGAGAGGATGGAGATCCTGGTTGGGATGGAAATGATGGAGCTCCTGCTGGGATTGAGATCCTGAAGCTCCTCCTTTCTAAAGATGCCCTGTGAAATGTGTTGGGAATCACCAAATGCAATAAAGAGCAGAATTCTCGGAGCAGTTGGAAAATCCACCTTGTTTGCTGCTTCCAGGGCTGTCTCACCTGCAGGTTGAGTCCCTTAAAGGTCTTTATCTTGATTTGATAATCTGTTATTGGATCCCTTCTGTAATAAAAGGGTGGTTTACAATTTGGGATTTACAAGAGTCTGGACTGACAGGACACAGGGAATGGCTTCAAACTGGAAGGAGTAGGGTTAGATGGAATACTGGGCAGGAATTGTTCCCTGGCAGGGTGGGCAGGCCCTGGCACAGGTGCTCAGAGCAGCTGTGGCTGCCCCTGGATCCCTGGCAGTGCCCAAGGCCAGGCTGGACATTGGGGCTGGAGCACCTGGGACAGTGGGAGGTGTCCCTGCCATGGCAGGGGTGGCACTGGATGGGATTTAAGGTCCATGTCTTTCTTTAATCTGTTCAACCAAAAAAAACCCCAAACCCCAGCCAAGAACCCTTCTCCTTTATTTGGTGTTAATACTTGATCAAGCATTTATTTTAATTAAATGTCAGTATTTATTTCCTGGCTGTGCCTCGGTTTTCCATGGAGCCTGGTTGCAGTGCTGGCCCCTCACTGCTCGTGGCTCTCTGGGTTTGTCACCTGTGGTGTCACAGCTCGGTGGCCCTCGGGTGGCCACCAGACAGCCACGTCTGGCAGAGTCCTGGGCTTCCTAATGAGCTGTAAACCAAGCAGCCAATTATTTGTGTTCACAAACAATTAATTAACGCTCTTAATAGGAGTAATTATGTTTATCTTGCTGTCCTGGCAAAATTCCATGCTGGTCAATTATGCTCTGCAGGCTTGAATTGTCTCTTCTGTCTCTCTTGAATTGTGTCTGTCTGTTCCATTCTGAGAGGAAGGGAGTGAAGGTGGGGATGGAGAGGTTTTCCTCCTGTGGCCAAAGTGACATTTGTGCCCGGGGACATTCCAGATTTCCCTTTGGATAGGCTGGAGAGCCACTGAGTGTCCAGCTGGATGCACCAGCTTGGAAGGTGGTGTTTGGGGAGCAGTGCTGGCTCTGGCTGTGTCCCACACTGAGAGGGGACCCTGGTGTCCCAACCCATCAGGTGTCAGTGGCTGATGGACCCTTGGCTGTGCCAGGGTGGGCATCCCAAACATTCCCTGGCTCAGCAGCAGCCTGGCCCTTGGGAATCGTTGCAGCTCCTTGAGGAGCTCTGGACCAGGTTCATACCAGGTGATCGCACTGCAGAGATCGATGGCTTATGAATATCCACGGGAAAGCAGCTTGGTTGGCTCTGCCCGCCTGCAGGGATGAAACCCGGGCTGCTCCTGCAGAGGGGCTCCGTGGATCCCAGAATTTGGGGAGAGCTCTGTGCAGTGAGTGCCGTTAAATTGTGTGCACACACCGCTTTATTTGTTCTGAGGTTTTGGTGCTGGTAGCTGCAGATGTGAATCAAACAGCAGCGCGATCAAACCATCAGAGGCAGAGCATTTCATGGCAGAATATTCAAAGGCTTGCAGCTGTTTGTTGTTCCAACAGTGACAAATTTTGTGGAAACTTTGTAAGAGAGGCGAGTTTTACCCTGTCACTTCCCATTACCAGCGGGCTCTGAAACCAGAGCCGCTCCACATAAAACAACACTTTAATGTCTCTGTGTCTTTATTAAAAAGTAAACTTTGATCACTCTCACTTACCACTGAGGCTGAGGTGCCTCCCCCGCCCTTGGCTGTGGTGGGGACCCCGTGACCCTCCATCCCTGTGACCTTTGTGCCTTCATTTTGCTTTCCCTTTGTCACCCCGCTCATATTTCCCCCATAAATTCGTTTGGCCGCCGTTCTGGGCCGTAAATTCGGAAAGGCCGACGGGAGCGTCCCCGATTCCCGCTCTGCAGGCTGAGGAGAGCAGTGATCAGCTGAAGTAAATAAGGCTGTAAAATATCAAGAGTGTGATTTTCCCTGGCATCTGCATAAAACCCCCGGCACGTGCGGGTGTTGTTTCCAATCGCGCCGGCGGTTTGTTCGCAATTCCCGTAATTTGATCGCGGCTGATGAAAAGCTGACAAGATTTCCACAGCGCCCCATTAGATGAAAGCAGCATGAAACCAGAGGTTAATCTGCAAACAGATTTTCCTGCTTATTACTCTAATGATTCCATCAGATTTGATGTAGCAGGCTGCGAGGCGTCTCTCGGCAGCAACAGTGTGCTGGGGTTTGATCTCGGTGCTCATTAAATGATGGAGTAATTTGGGTGACCTCTGCCCAGGTGCACATCTCCTCATAATTGCACGGCATTCTGATGGGGAAATTACCGGCGAGAACCCCGAGTATTCATCCCGCTTTCCGAGTGGAAAAACTAACAAAAGAAATATTGCATTAATTTTCAAATGATGATATTACATTTAGTGCCTGGGCCCCATATATCAAAATCTGAGAACTGCTCAGTTACTCGCTGCTCTTAATCTTAATGGTATCTGTGGATGTCAAGGGCATGGAGGAAATTAAATCGGAAAGTGCAGATAGACCTAAGAAGACATTATCTCTTGATGATTGCAGTTTTGATAGGTATTTCAGTGAATTTCATTTTCGCAGAATGGTGGAAGATGAGTTAGCCACCAGATTTTCTCATTTTTCTTCCCCGTGATTTATGTGAGTTGAGTATAAAACTTTTTATGGGAGTGCAGTTACGGCGGATGAGAGGTAAATTAATGCACTGGGTTTCCATCTCGGCCCCGCGCGCGATTGTCAGAGCTGTACATACGTAATGGGGCCCATCATTATTCAGGGTTGTTTACATTCAAAATATGTAATGAAATCTGTTCAGAATAATGAGGGAAATAAAAGTTTAGAAAATTGTAAAGGTCATGAAGTTTGAGAAATGATGCAATGCTCCCAAAATAACATTTAGGCAATATAAATTACATTATTATGCACCAACTCTGCCTTATAGAGACATGAAGATAAAGTGCTTTCGACGAGTAAAATGCTGTTAGTGCTCTCTGAAGTATGAGAATGTGTAAAATGTTTCTGATTTCATATTCTGGTTTTGTGCATATTGTGGAAAAATACATAAAGGAACTTTATGGAGGGCAGTGGCTGCTTCTCTGTCCCCAAGTTTAAGTGCCTTTCCTGGGAGGGTTTTCTCCAGCAAACAAACGCTTTGGCAGAAATGTAATTGATTTTTAATTTAATTATTGAGGCCACCAGCGAATTCATCTTGTTAGGGGGTTCTTGCTCCTCTTCTTTTGGGGGATTTTACATTTTGCTCTGAATATATTTTATTGCAGATGCTGAAGAGGGATCTTGGCACAATACTGAGATGAAGCATAAATTTGCCCAACTATCTGTGATCTGCACCTAAAATACAAATCTCTGCACCCTGGTTTTATGCAGGTGCTCCTCAGAATAATTATGTTTTGCCTTGCACATTTTATGTTGTACTTATTTGTCAGAAGAAGCAGCCAAAAGCATGGAACACAAGTCATTTTTGGAAAAGTTAAACCTGCAGATCTGTGCCAGCCCAAAAAATGGTGCAGTGGGGCTGAGTTGATCATTGAATCCGAGAGCAAAGAGAAAATGCACTTTTATTCAAAGTGTATAATCTTGATTAAGTTCAGGTTAATTCCTGTGTAATTAGGTGAGATTTGGGGTAGATTGTCAGATTGTTTTGAAACTTAATGCT